CTTTTTCCCTCAAAAAAGAGGCTGAAAATCTGGTTGCGTCTTATACACTGAATACAGCATTTTTTGCCTCTTGAAATCCCCCTTCACCAAAATGGTCGTGCATTGCCTCCTGGGGGCAGAAATGAGCGAAAAACAGGCCATTTTTTTGTTCAATTTCCCCTCCCCCCCCCACGCCCAGGAGCACTCTATAAGCCTCCTAAAGGCTATGCATGCCCCCCCCTTTAACAAAAAATGGCCCCTTTTTGCAAAAAATGGGAGATTTTTTGTTAGTCCCCCCCCAGGAGCACTTTATGAGCCGCCTAAAGGCTATTCATGCCCTCTTGGGGGGAGGAAACGGGCCCATTTTCCCAAAAAAACAGGCTGTTTTTCAGAGGTCTGCAAAGTGGAAAAACTTTTTTTAAAAATTTGCCTCTTCAAAATCTTGGTGCGTGTTATACTCCGAAAAATACGGTACCTTTTTCACCTTTTCTAACATTTTCACTGTCATGTTGCCAGTTCCAGGGCCCACTTCTAAAACAACATCTGTAGGGTATAAGGAAGCCTGAAAGAATGAATAAAATATTATTACACAAAAACCTAGCCCTGTTAGCACTGTGTCCAGACAAATGTAATTGATATACAGGGGAAAGGGAATGGCCTTATAGGAAAAGGAGGAAGAGCCGTACCAAAGCAATGGTCAGAGAAAAGAGTTGTGTCCAGAGCCAGAATGTAGCATGAATAAACATCTCAGATAGGACCCTCCCTAATTCTGAAGATAAAGGGAAGGGGGAGGCATGCATTCAGATTTGCGAGGTTCTCTTATTATAGCTTCAGAAAATAATATTGATTTACATGACATTAGTTTCCTAGTGTGGCCTACTTGGAAAGGGTGAGATACATTGAAAAATGACTTACTAAAGCAGAATTCTATCAAGTCAAAAAGGTCCATCTATTAAATGTGTACAAACTATTTAACTTATTTTTCTCTGATGTCATATCTGAACACCAGATACAACCATTCTGATACTTTTTATATTTTTAAAAAATGTACAAGGAAATTTGTATTGTGTACAGGTATAGTTGAACTTTGTTTCAAAATTTCAAATTTTATTTCTTAATCAAGTAATCAAACAAACTCACCAGTTTGTTTAGTGAGAAACAGATCCATTGATTTTAATGAGACTTACTAATTAAATAGGTATACATTAGTAGCTGCAAATACCACCAATTTCATTATAATGTATGAGAATGAGTGATTTTCTTACACTGAATGATTGTGATTATCACTTACCTTTTCTATAATGCTGTTAACAATCAGGGGATTTTTCAAAATATGCTGACCAAGTCCAGTGTTGAATCTAATGCCTACTAATAAAAGTAAATTTTAAGATGCATTATTATAACAAGTCATTTTATATCAAACTCTTAGTTTTTATCAAACTCGCCAATAGTTTTTTTAATACGAATCTTAAATAATGGGATGATATCTTCCCAAATAATTTACGCAATTCAGAATCTGGCACCCTTATCAGAGAAAGTAGCATCAAAATAATAACAATGGGTGAGCTTTATCTTTAGTTCTAGTTTTTAAAAATATTTTCCCACTCTTCCCTATAAAGTTCTTCCAGCTCAGAAATATGTTTGCACATTGGACTGCTCCTGGATTGCACATTAGAAATCTTTCTACAAAATTTAAATCGTGCCCTCCTCCCTTACATCAAAGGCACCATGGATAAAATCAACAAAATTCTCCACAAGCACAATATCAAGACAGCCTTCAGCACTGACCAAAAAATAGCCAACATCTTAAGAAACCCCAAAGACAAGATCCAGCTAGAAAACCAAGGTGTCTACGAAATAAATACCATGCAAAATCTGCCCTGCCACATACATTGGGCAAACTAGTAGGAGAATAAATGCATGCATCGCAGAACAAGTCGATAGCATATAAAATGAAAGCAAACCTC